TTCTCAGAAGTCTGAATGTTACATGCTAATTCCACATACATTTCACTCCTTTACTGCAGAAGCTTCCGTTATAAAATTCATGAATCATTTTCTCATATGGTCATTGTCTTGTCATTATCTGTCATTATACACACAATAATGAAAGAGGTAATGAGAAAAGCAGCGTTACTTGACGATTAATCAGATAAAAAACTGTCAATTATTCAAAGGATAAGAGAATTCATTTCCCATTTGTCGTAAAAATTTTTGTGGGGTTGTTACAAAGAATGCGACAATGCAGCCGGCTGGCAAAAATACTTTCTTACACAAAACAAACATAAATCTAAAATTAAAAATTTAAATGAAGAAGGAAGATTATTAATAAAATTTGTCAACCATACAATTATTTATATGCTATTCTACCTTCAAATCTTTTATATCTGATCACTAATTAGTATACAAACCTTGTAAAGTCTTCCCAATTAACGTTACCAATCGGTAATTAAAAAACAGTATGTAACGAGATCAATGAGATTAATCCCATCACGACCGCGTGTGACTGACCAGTCTCGTCAGATAACAACAATATGCAACTTATCAATTGATGAACGTCTAATACATTAATGACCAATTATTCGATGGATACGTAAGTCATCAATGACGTCACATTGCTGAACAATTGAACAAGCCCTCAACCAACTTCGATCAATCAATATTTGATTGAGTATCATCAACTGGTTGTTGGGAGTGTCGCTAAATGGAAGCGAAATAGTCAAAAGTGCGTATCATGACCGAAGCTAAAGGTTTTATCAAAATATAAACAAGCCGACTTCAAACTGTAACCTGAGAAGCAGCCACAAGGAAAGAGTAAAAGGTCCAAAGACGAATCAGCGAATCACCTCTGTAATTTGCACTAAAAACAACTTATTCGAACAGGAAGACACGATTGAGACTACATCTTGAATCTAAAGTTACAAAACTACATAAACCATTCTATTTATAATTGGGAAGATTAAGATTTGCACTATTTTCATATAAACAATGGAAAACTGTATATTATGAAACCAAATAGATTTGCTGGGATGGCAGTTTAGATTTTTGAAGTTCTACTAAAACATGAATCGGAACCAATATTATAAACAAATGCGCAGATTTATAAGCTGAAACATGTAGTAAATCATTACAGTTTTCATGTCAATATTTTCTGATTAGGTAAGATTTGACTTGAATAGAAATAAAAAGTTAATTCTGCAGAAACTATAAGCCCTCTCATTTTCAGGCAATTCCGATGCATTATGCAGCGATCAAGGAAGATACAGAACCAGTGAACTTTTTGACTAAAAGTAAAGCTGACCTTGACGCGGAAGATTTAACTAAGGTGAAAAATTATTAAAAGCGTTAAGGAAAGTCAGTTGACTGTTGAAAAAAGCTAATTTAAAAATAATCGTTGAGAAACAAAGAAATATTTTGAGAACTATAAAGCAGATCAGTGAAAAAATTGTTTCCAAATAAAGTGAGCAAACGTTTATTTAAAACGTTTTAAGAAGTTTTTTCTAGAAAAAAAAAAATGAAGAAAGTTGTTTCTTTTTTTGTATTTATATCTGTTCTGCTAATCATTTCGTTTGCTACACTTCCCCTTTTATTTTCGTTTAACAAAACATATACATTTACATAATTAGCCAAAAATTTGAGCCATAAAAAATTAAAAAAAAAACAGATTCGTAGTCCAAAAGCAGTATGAATTTTTGCTGCTCTGTTGAAAAATGAATTAGAAAAAGTTTCAGCAACAAACGTGCAAATTTCGCAATTAATCTGAAGGAAGTGTTAAATTATAACAGTTTTCAAATTAGTATCCTCTGATCAGATACGGTTCAATTTAAAGAGCAATAAAGAGTTTATTCTGCAGAAATTATAAAGATGCTTATTTTCAAAAAATTCCAATTTATCATGCAGTGTTCAAGACACACGTAAAAATAGTGAAAGTTTTGGTTGAATGTGGCCAGTCTTAATGCAAAAAATAAATTGCAGGTAAAGAATTCTTCAGAGCGCCAAGGAAAACCAGATAACTTGAAAAAATTTAGTTCAGAAATATTCGTTGCAAAACAAAAGAATGGTTAGAGAACTAAGAAGCAAATAGATGAAAAAATTTTTGAAATAATAAAGAATGAAAAAATAATTACCCAAAGAATATGAAAAAGTTTTTTTATGCAAAAAAAATTTATCTTTTCTGTTAAATCATTTCGTTATTCAAACTTCGGCGTTTATTTTCTAATTTGAATTTATCCTGTGTAAAATGAAAGCCTGGTTTGAAAGTTTTGCGGGAAATCAGTGAAAGGAACCTTTAGAAAAATAGAAAATGAAAGATAAAAAAAAATTCTTCGATTAAAATCAAAAAAAAAAAAACGTCTTTTTTTTTTGCTTATGTTACTGTGTTCGTAGATGTTTTTGTTGCTTAAGACAGCTAACTTTGAGGTAAAGTAGCAGATGTTTTGAAACGTGAAACAAATTATCACAACAAGATTTTTTAGTATGTGTTCTTCCTTTAAAACACTTCCCTGCATTCTGTAGCCAAAAAGAAAATTGTCGAGATTTTCAACATTTTTTTAAAAATTGGAGTTGACCTGAGCCTGAAGAATGCTAAACAGGTAAGTGATTTCTGTAACCTTTTGACAGTGTACTTAGACAGTTTTTTGGTTGTCAGAATAATTTTTTGGTGATTGGGGAAGCTTTTTTGATCGTGTAATAGCGACACGTATAAACTGTGGTTGGTGGATTAGGTGCAGTTGAATTTTGTGTTAAAGTTTTTGCCAATTTCTTATGTTTTGCAAC